CTCACTATCAACAAAAACCTAAATATATCTTGGAAGAGGAAACCTTAATTGAGAAAATACTCTGATGAGATTGCTCTATAGGCAAGTCAATGCAACATTTTCTCAATTATTTTTGGATTCGGGATGGCCCAGCCCACTGTGAATAATACCAAACCTTGGCAAATGATCCTGAATTGTATCAGACTGAACAAGCCATAAAAAGTAACCCTATAGTACATTGTTTTTGTCCATGGCCTCTGCTTCAGTTACTGCCTCTAGGTTTCTGCCCTGATTTTTCACCCTTATTTCCCTCAGAAGTAATATAGGGTAGAAATACAAGTGAAAGAGACCGTTTTGTTCATAAGTTCTTTTGTTCATAGTGTATTATCACAGCAAATCCTCACAATGATATCTTCCCATTTGGAGTTTTGCTGTTCTATGTTTTGTTGTGGCTTTCACAGGAACCTACTGCAAGCACACAACCTCTTTACCTGTCCAGTTCTACAGGTACTTTGAACAGCTTCCTCTATGTTTCCCAAAAGTAGAGAAAGAGCCACAAAATATCCTGTTTCATAGTACCCCTGTTGTCTCATTCTCTTCTTTTATGTTATAAGAGATGTAAGAAGCTAATATATCTTATACTGTATCTTCCAGTTTGAGTGGAAGTGCACATCAGAGAAAAATCCTGAAGTGGATTTTTTGGGTTCCTGAAGTCATTGTAGATAGAGATGTGAAACTGCCTCCAACCCTTCCCAAACTGATTCTTTTCTCACATGAAATATTTGCCGGGTGTCTGTTCTGCCACTTGCATACCCCACTAAGCAATACACCACACTTCCATGCAAAGATTCTTAATCCTGCTGAATCAGAGTCTCATCTTGCTTTGATGCTTTTGAAACACATTAGTATAAATTGGGTAGTTGAAGTCTATTGGACTAAGTATACTGGGCACAAATCAGCACAGCTTACTCATTCCAGACATGTAAAGTCTTAGGTAATAATATTGCAGAAGAAGTACAAATGTCATTATGGGAATGGCAATCAATAAGTGATTTCTATGGCCAGTTTTGAAAACTTTGGGCTATAAGACATCTCACTCAAATTAGTAGGTGAGTCTATGACAATGTTCTTACTTGAATTATATCTATACTAGCCACAATGTTTACTCTTAATAAAACTTCTAGCACCAGAACTCTGTTGAGTCAACATGAAAAGTAAAGTAATTATTTACCTAGTTGATGAACAAAGTTGTCAGGGAGAATTTGAAGGTATTCAGTTCTGCATGAATGGCCTCCACTTCTGCCATCATGCAGGTAGTTTCCCAAATGTACTTACCACTTGGTATTGTTTGGCCATGGATCTTGTCAGCCCAGCCTGCACAGTACTTTAATGTCTTTATGCTGATGTCTAAATCCATCATGTATGCCTGGGGGAATACTTTCCCAGCGTTCATAGATTCCATTGTCTGAAAAAATAGATAGTAATATTAAAGTCTAAACATTCAATAATAAAAATTACATCAAGAATATACAGTCAATGGTTTTAGTAATTACGTATTAGAGTTTTAGATATATAAAGATTCTTAAATCGAATGTTCCTTTGAAAGCAGCTTAAGAAAGAATTAAATGTCTTGTTTGTGGTCACATAACAAGATCCTGATGAGAGAGATAGTGACATTCTGATTGCCTGATCCCACTAATCTTTCTGTCCGATTCTTTCTTAAGTACCTCTGGTTAAGCGTGTCTAAGAGCCAGTTACATAAGTACTCAGCTGTGAAAATGATTCTTAGTCTCCACATCCTATCAGAGTTCCAACAAGCTTGCACTTGTCATCTGACTGTAGCACCAATTCAGGTTCTGCAACTATGGACAATGTCACTATCGCCATCCTATTCCTCTTGTGTATAAACGGTCTGCTCGTACAATTGTAAAACTCATAGCTGTGTGTTCACACAATTGCAACACCTACATAGCAGAGAATTTAACTATTAACCCCTTGTTTGGGAAATATTGTCATAAGTATTTCACTAATTCCTCCTCTCAGAGCTCAGAGATCACCATGGAAAAGAAGGGAGAGAAAGCATAAGAGCCAGAGAAGATGGAGGACACCAGGAGGACGAGGCCCTCTAAAACAGCTAAAACCTCTAAACGAGGTGCACATGATCTCACAGTTTGAAGCAGCAAGCATGGGGCCTGCATGGATCTGCACCAAGTCCTCTGGAGATATATTAAAGCTTTTAGCTTCTCATTTTATGGGATCCCCCGACTGTGAGAACAAGTGAGTCTCTGATTCTTTATGCCTGCTCTTGGGGCTCCTTTCCTTCTATTTGTCTGCTGTATTCAACTTCAATATGATGGGTTTTTTTTTAACTTTACCTGATTATATTTTATTTTGTCATTTTTGGTTGTTATCTCTTAAAAACCTGTTATTTTCTAATGAGAGACTGCTAGAGGTGGATCCACATGATGGGAATCAAGGAACTGGGAGCAATAGAAGAAGGGGAAATAAAATCAGGATAAATTGTATGAGAAAAGAATCTATTTTTATAAAAGGAAAACTAAAAGATTATGAAGTTCCACATTTTCTTATCTTAGCAGTATCTTCTCCTCACCCTTTAATGCAGACTTTAAAGGAAGCTTTGAAATCATACAATCCACTAGGTGTCACCTGGCAAGATGCACAGGTCTGATATTGTCCACTATCTTAAATTTGTCACTTTATATCTATTCTTCCATCCCTATAGCTCTCAAGATGACAGAGGAAGTTAAGACATTTCACTCTGCAATTAAGACAAATGAAAAGAACTAAGCTTTGGGAAATACCAATTATTTTCAGTAGAATATTTCAGTTAGTATACATTTACTACATAGCTATGAAATCTATTTTGGCATGTTTGAACAATGAAAAAATCCTAAAGGAATAGGTGATTTTTAATAATTGCTGAATTGCTCATATTTTTGATAAAATTATGACTTGAATCTTGTTGTTACTTAAGATTCTGAAGCTAATAATATTTACTTTGAATTGTAACCTGTGTAACACTTTGTTTTCAGTTGACTTTGCTGAAATTCAAAGCAGAAAAGAAAAGGAATTATACCCTCCATCCATAATCTATGCTGACTTATGTAACTATTGAAATTTAAAAATATAGGCCCTAAGAGCATAACGAGATTTAATGAGTATAGCAAAGTTGGGCTCTGGACTCTGAGAAGTTCTAGAGAAAAGGCAGGAACAAGTTTGTCAGTCTGGCTCTCCATCAAACTGACCATCCAGTTGGAACGGTGAATGCTCCCTGGAGCTTCCCCACTGTCTCCCTTTGGTGTAAGTTAATACTCACAGCAAGCAGTAGACGGTCTCTTTCCATTAAGTCAGCCAGCTTGTTCAGCAGGCGCCCCCTCTCTGATGCATCCATGGTGCGCCATGTGGAGCCAATCTGAAAAGCCTGTCGTGCAGCCTTCACGGCTTTGTCCACATCTGCCTGGAAGTCACAGAGCATTTATTTCAGGATGTTCAAAACTCTAGACTGGAGAGCAACACATCACAACTTAATAAACTATAACACAGTCCTCAGAGACAGACGCTAGTCTATATTAGTCCAGGGTCCAGAACATTCCGCACACACTGCACCACAATATGATAGAATGATTCTCTTGAGTAATATTTCAAGTAAGCTCCATATCCTTATCAAATAGTTAAACTCTAGAAGAGACGTGTTTTTTTAATAGCTTTTACTTTATCCCATGTAAATAGGACACAGTGTTTATTTTATTTGAAATAATGTTCTAGTTAATTTAAACTTTTTATCTCATTTGATTTAGAAAATACTGTGAAAATTCATTTTGCAGATGAAGAAATTAAAGCAAAAAACAAAAGACTATCTATCTCAAGACAAATAGAGTGGGTATGAACCATGTAACCTGATCACAACTCTGCATCTAGCACGAATCTTTGATAGCCTCTCAGAACAGCGCCACCACCTGGGTGACAGCTGTACTGGGCGTTTCACATTCAAACCAAAGCACTATGTGTATGGTAAGCCCATCCTTCCAAGTGCATGCAAAGTGATCCACTCTAGTTCCTAAATAAGCGGAGGACAGTCTTTTATTAATAAGATACTGCTTATAGCCTCATTAATTGAAACAAAATGGAGTGATAGAATAAAGGCACACTCGCATTGTTTAGCTTTCTTGTTTTCGCTAATGTATTTTAATCACCGCCGTATTTTTCCTTTCGTTTACTCCTTTAAATCTCCTGAGCCATATCCCTTCCACATTGCCATGGTCACTCCCGTCGTCTGTAGACCCCTCTTCACGCTTCTAGTCTCTTCCAGTCTTCCATTCCTACTTTGTGTGCTTTTTTTTTTAACTTAATCAGGTCAACTGCAAATAGTATGCATGTAAGGACTATTGCACAGCTTTTTGTCTACAGGACTCACCAGTATAGGGTACAGTATAAATCAAGATGATCAAAAGGACAGTGGGCTTGACTTCTTGTTGTAATGCACTTTGCGAAGGAAAATAAAGTGAGTTTTAAACCACACGTCTTAAACTAGTGTGACCACAGTTCTGCGTGGATTTCTTTGCTCAGTGTTCCTTCATTTGCCTCTGTTTAATAAGAACTCTCTTGAGATTCCTGGCCCCTCTGAGCAATGGAGTGAAATGACCTTTGAGACACCATGTTACCATGCATGAAAAAAAAAAATTGCCTACAAAAAACTGTTATAAGTAAATGTATTCTTCTGGTTTTATCATTTGGGTCATGGCTCTCTTTTTCTCAAACCAGATATTTAGTCTTGCAGGACCAGAAATAGATTAAAGACACTGTGTTTTTAATTTAAAAAATGGATTCTGAGTTCTCCCTTTTAATTTTTAGGCATCCAAATATACATCCACCATATAGCTTTCTATCGGTTGGCTAATGATAGGACAGTGAGGTATAGAGTTTATTCTGAAACATTCATTAGATGGGAGGAACCTAGGCCTGAACATCATCATCATGCTATTATATTAAACACAGGCCTCATGCTAGCGTCAGCAGCACATATATTAAAATTAGTATGATATAGAGATTTTCATGACCCCTGCACAAGGATGACAGGTAAATTTGTGAAATATTCCATATTTTTAGAAAGCCAATAAAAAACAAATAATCAGGTGAAGCAAACTGTTTGAGACTAGACAATGGGAATATATGCAGTAAAGAAAACACAAATTGAGGGAATTCTGGGAATGGAAAAATCTAGGTAAACACAGGCCTTCCTTAGTATGCTAGAGGACTTGTTCCCAAAGTCATCGAATGATAATCTAAATTCATGAGTGCCAAACTTACTTAGTATTTATATATTACCCCTCAGACATTCTTTTAATAACCATACTTCTGATACTGAGTACAAATACTAGTGAAGTAGTAGACAAACTGTACTGTTTTGAGAATAGTGGCCACATTTTTCTGTGCACTCAGTGTGCACACAGCTGTGACAGGCCTCATTTCTTCATCCATGTCAGCAGCTGCACATTTCAGACCCCAGAGTTGAGTGAACCAAATTGGAATCTGAGGGTGCAGAGGGTCCACTGTATTCTAAACTCTACTGTGCTGTGCTACAACTTGTTTGAAATTCACTTATTTTATCTTCAAACTCACATGTGTCTCACATTTTCTATGTGGCAGACATGCCAAATGTGCACAAGATGGGGTTAACTGTGGACCTAGAAGACAAGCCAACATGAAAATGATTACAGCATTCTAGTTCATTCCAGTACAGCCTTTCAGCTTCTTTACCTTCTGTCACAAAGGCCTTTTCTGTTGCAACCTGTGAACAGTCTCCCATTCACTTTCTCCACTTCCCACCTTCTCTTTAATGCTACTAGGTTAATTGCCATGTAATTTATCTTATCACATTTTTGTCTGTGTTTGTAACTGCTGGCTTCACCCACAATCCTAAGAGCAAAGGGCAAAGCTCTCTGGTTTTCAAGGTCCAACATTTTCTGGAAAGACTTCCTGTTCACATTTCTCCTACTCTAGCTGAAACAGCTCTTCCCACCTTTGCTCCTGAAATTCTTTTTGCATAGAGAAGGTCCTATGAGCAATCCCATTTACTTCCACAGTCTTACACATTTTTCAAGGCCTGTTTTAATATAACAACTTTTACATCAATAATCACCAGACACCCAGCTCAATGGCAGATCATAATAAAGACCCGACTAAGTTACAAGAAGAAAGGCAAGTTCTTTATCACCCCAGTTACTATTATACTTAAGTATCGTGGACCCTGCCTTAGTGATAAGGAAGGGAACCTTACCTTATTCTAGTGACCTTTCCTTATGCTAGTGAAACACAGCAGAAATAGAATCAATATTTTATTCTATATCTGACTTCCAAATTCAATTTTCTCAGAAAGGATGTTCAATAGCACTGCTTTGTGAAATAGTCACTGCTGTTAATGTACAATGTGACTACTCCACATTGTAGAGAACAGTGATTTTTCAGCCTGTAGGTTACCCTGTGAGAGTGCATTTTGTGAGAAGCTTTTGTCTCCATTTTGAAGGAGAAAGATGACTACAGCTTCTAGGTGGACCAAGGAAATCCACCATATACCACCTGCCTAGCACAGTCTGATGAGTAACATACTCTTGGCGATAGAAAGCAAGCTGTCTTGTACATATACTAGGGAGAATTGAAAGTGTGTAGCCAAGTAGGCATATTAAAATCAAATCAAGGTAATCACAGAAAGAAACTTAATAGGTACCCAGAAAAGGGTGCAACTCCCTTGCCTGGATCACAAAAGTTGATGGACAGCGTAGACTGCAATGCATGGACTCTGAACAAACTATTGTCTGATACCCAGTGTGTGTGTGTCTCAGGTACCAAGGACTCCTTGGCTCAGCTGGGCCCCTACTATTGTCCAGCCTACTGGGTGGCCGGCCCATGTACACGCTCACCTGTCTGAACTGCTCTTTTCTGTTCTAGACCCAGTCTGGCCTTTGATCTGCTGTTGAGTTTCCAGCTTCTCTCTTCCCCCTGAGTCCAGTCACTCCCCTGCAGCTCTGCCCAGGCATGATTCCTCATCATTACAGGTTTTTTCTAAACCACTTCTGAAGCCTCTGAACTCTGCTGGAGACTCTTTAACTTGTATTTATTTAGTAATCCACATATGCATATACAGTGGTCCAAATAAGTTTACTATGTGATGTGTGGTATGAGAATTAATGTTAGTGATTAATCTTAGAAGAAAGAATCGGCATTCTCAAGGAGACTACTAAGGTAGGTGACTTTTATACCAAATTGCTCTCATTTGAATGGCTAAATCTTGTGAATTTATTGTTATTCAACACAGTTAGATATTATGGAAAGATGCAAATATATTCATCTGTGCTTGGATGTGGCACATAAGCCTTGTATGACTTATTCTTGTTGATCTTTGTACAACAAATAATACTGTAAATAATTCTTTTCCATTATGTGATGAACATTTTTCATTAACCAAAATTATGAGTCCCATAAATGCTTTTGATAGCATTTTTGTAGTATTTTTTAACTTCAAGATTCTTTTAGTGTAGATTTTTATTCAGGGGCTGGCATTTCCAAAATACTTTTGAATTAAAAGGAAAACAGTGACCAGGTTAACTGTGATTTACTGTCATCACACCTTGTGACCTGGGGAAATAAAATACTACAGTTTGAAGTCAGAGCCACTGAAGAGAAAAAAAATGTATTTACTCTGGCCCCTGCCCCACCCTTGTGATACCATGAAAGGCTTGATTTGGCCTGTTGGCAGCCCCATTCTGCTTGTGGATGGACTCTCCAAAACCTTTAGCCTGTGATCTAATGAGTAAGTATAGCATATCAGACTTGACTGAACTTTACCAGGTTAGAACCACCCTCTAAGCAATGCTAGTCACCCTTCATTAGATCTCTCACAAATTGTTTGAACATCAACATTTCTAAAAGGACAATTTGGTTAATGATTGCAAAACAAGATACAGATACAGGAATGTGGCTGTGAAGCCAGCTCTTGTTGATCACTAACAATTTTCTTATAGCAGTGGTTCTTGACCTTCCCAGTGTTGTGACTTTGTAATACAGTTCCTCGTTTGTGGTGACTCCCACCATAAATGTATTTTTGTTGCTACTTCACAACTGTCACTTTACTACTGTTATGAATTATAACTTAATATCTATGTTTTCCGATAGTCTTAGGTGAGCTCTACGACGGAGTTGTTCAACTCCACCCACCCCACAAATGGAGAACCACTGTCTTAGGGGATTCATTTGCTCAGCCAACCAGATTGGCACAGTGACTTGGACTGTAGTTTGTCTGGGTATGAGTTAGTCTCCTTGCTCTTTCTATGGGAGAGGCAGTTGTCACTAAGCAAAGAACAGATCAGTGTTCACTGGCAAGGCTGCAGAGATGGTCACCAGTTTTCCCATCTGTGCCTTCAGAAGAAGGTAAACCTCACTGACTCCCCTAGAAAAGTCCTCAGCCTGACAAAGTTTCTACTGAATCCAGGTAGAGAGTTGTTTTCCTGATGAAATTAATGCCAGCATCAGAGCAAAATGTCCCATAGAAGCTAAATGTTCAAGGCCTCTATGTTAAAACATCAATAATATTACTTTTTGTTACCTTATATATACAGACTCATAGTCTTCTTTTTCAGTGTCATTTTATTGTCAAGGAGAAGGCATAATTAGCTGACAGATGTTGTATAATATAAGTTGAAGATGTGTTACAATTGTTTATGCTGTGTAATATTTGTTTAATCATGCAAAGATATGCTGCATTCTTCTACATTGTATTTGTATAACTCTGTGAAGCTGTTACTTTGCCTGTCTAAAACACCTGATTGGTCTAATAAAGAGCTGAATGGTCCATAGCAGGAAAGGAGAAAGGATAGGCAGGACTTGTAGGAAGAGACAATAAATAGGAGAAGAAATTTCAGGGGAAAGATCAAGGAATTAGAAAAGGAAGAGAGGAGGATACAAGAGGCCAGCCACTCAGCAAGCCAAGGAATAAGAAGTTAAGAAAGGCCTATAGAAAAAAGATAAAAGCTCAGAGGCAAAGCAGAGCTGGGAAAATTTAAATTAAGGAAAGCAGACTAGAAACAAGCCAAGTGAAGGCCAGGAAGAATAAGTCTCTGTATATTTATTTGGGAACTGGGTGGTGGGCCCCTCAAAGAAGCAAAGAGCCAAGAGCCAAAGAGATATTAAAAAAAAAACTACAGAGAGGCACCTTAAATATATTATTATTATTAATTATTATTAAAACTCCATGCCCCACAATAAATGCTAATGCTAATCCTTAAGAAAAGAGACAAGTATTTAAAAATTAATACTTCATTATGCTACAGTAGCCTCAAAACATCAACATTTTGAACCCCACTTCCCTATTCTAGATTCCAGGGTAATATTAGAAATGATAACATGAGATCTACAGCCTGTGTGGGGTTTTTTGTTGTTGTTGTTGTTGTTGTTATTTATCGTTTCTTGGTCTCTTGATATTTTAATTTTTAAGTTCTTGTGTATTATGGATATTTATTCTCTATCAGATGAATATGATGCAATTTCTTATGCCAAGGACAACAGAACATTTACCCAACTGCTTGAGCAGTCATCTTGTCATGTCTTTCACTGAACTTGCAGTGGACGGTGAGCTCAGAACGGTGAGAAACAAAGATTTCTGGTGTGAACTGGACCTGCGGGTGTTGGAAAACTCACCTTGTCCCCTTCTTCCACATGGCAGATGATCTCCTCAGTTGCAGGGTTAAAGACAGGAAATTTCTTGCCACTCACTGAGTCATGCCATTCATTGTTGATGAAGATCTGTGGGGATGCAACAAAGGAAGACCAAAAGCATTTAAATATGAAGTATGGTGATGAGTTGAGATATTAAGTGTTGCCCAGATATGGGGCTTTCCCTGTCTAAAATATGCTCACATGTGTGTCATTTAACACCTAAAAACCATAGAGGTTAGACAACTGAGAATTTAGGTGTGTGTGTTACTAGGACATAGGAACTAGAAGAGGCACCCGTAGATCCCTGGAATAGGGTGGGAATTTCAATATTTGCACCCTGAACTTGGGTTTTATTAAGAAACGTTTTTATGTGCAATTGACTCCATTTCTTCTTCT